CTGTGTAAATGTAAAAGGGAGGAAGAAAAAGCACCTCTTGGACCTCTAACAATTTTACATTTCTCTTCTGGTTGTTGGCTTAGAATACATTAAAACTTAAATAGACAGTCTTATTCTATCGGGGGACTTTAACACGGTTATGGACCCAGCTATGGACCGCTCTAGCCCTAGAAACTTAACTCGCTCTAAAATGTCTCTTGCTCTTGGTGAGTTTGCTGATAAGGCAGGTTGGGTTGACCCATGGAGGTTCTTTAAACCTAACAAAAAAGAATTCTCCTACTTCTCACATATTCACCACACATACAGTCGTATCAATTTTTTCCTCATTGACAAGACACTTCTCCCATTTACAAAGAGAATTGAATACAATACTATTGTTGAATCTGACCATGCGCCGGTCTCCCTGGATATTTTGTTCTCTCAAAATGTCACACAACCAAGAGTTTGGAGATTAGACACATCTTTACTATCAGACAGTCATTTCTGTGAATTCATTGGTAAAGAAATAGATGAGTTTATATACTTTAATAGATCTGATTCCATATCCCCATCCATATTGTGGGAAACACTTAAAGTAGTTATAAGAGGGAAGATAATTTCTTATTCTATTTCACAGAGTAAGGAAAGAAAGCAAAAAGCAAACAATCTCTTGGTATCATTAAAACAAATTGACCAACAATATTCTACCACTCCAACACCTGAGTTATATAAAGAAAGGGTTACATTGATGACCCAATATGACCTATTGTCAACAGAAATAACTGAAAAACACCAACTTTGGTTAAAAGGACAATATTATGAACATGGGGATAAAGCAGGCCGTCTTTTGGCTTATCAGCTTAAATGTAAATCAGCGTCCCGTCTAATACCTCAGATACGGGCAACACGCCAGGGTTGCCCTCTTAGCCCACTCTTATTTGCATTAGCTATTGAGCCTTTATCAATAAAATTAAGGACAACCCCCAATTTCTTTGGTATTCGTAGGTTTGATACCGAACATAAAATTTCTTTATATGCCGATGACTTACTTTTGTATATTTCTGACCCAGTGTCATGTATTCCTACTATTGTCAATATTCTTAA